GGAAAATGTAGGCCCAAATCTTCATCACGTCAGATTAGGCCCCAACTTCCTTAAAAACACTCCTAAATTGCAAGAAATAAAATCAAGAATCAATAAACGGGATGGACTCAAACTAAAAAGCTTCTTCTCAGCAAAATAAACAATCAGTGAGGTGAAGAGAAAACCTACATTTTGGGAGCAAATTTTTGCCACATAGAGCACTAATCTCCAGGATATATAAAGAAATCAAAAAACCTAACACCAAAAAAACAAATAACCCAATCAATAAATGGGCCAAGGAGCTGAACAGACAATTCTCAGAAAAAGATATATACTCAATCAAAAAATATATGAAAAAAAATGTTCAACAAGTCTAATTACTAGAGAAATGCAAATCAAAACTACTCTAAGATTTCATCTCACTCCAGTCAGAATGGCAGTTATCAAGAATATAAACAACAATAAGTGTTGGCAAGGATGTGCGGAGAAAGGCACACTCATACATTGCTGGTGGAACTGCAAATTGGTGAAACCACTCTGGAAAGCAGTATGGAGATTCCTTGGAAAACTGGGAATGGAACCACCATTTAACCCAGCTATCCCCTCACCCCCCCGTTTATACACAAAGGACTTAAAACACCATAGTATAGTAACGCAGCCACATCAATGTTTATAGCAGCACAATTTACAATAGCTAAATTGTGGAACCAACCTAGATGCCCTTCAATAGAAGAATGGATAAAGAAACTGTGGTATATATACACAATGGAATATTACTCAGCGTTAAAAGAGAATAAAATCACAACATTTGCAGGTAAATAGATGGAATTGGAGAACATTATACTAAGTGAAGTAAGCCAATCCCCAAAAAACAAATGCCAAATGTTTTCTCTGATATGAGGATGCTGATCCATAATGTGGAGGGCAGGGAGCATGGGAGGAATGGAGGAACTTTAGATAGGGCAAAAGGAATGAAGGGGAAGGGAGGGAACATAGAGGTAGGAAAGATGGTAGAATGAGATGGACATCATTATCCCAAGTACATATATGAAGACACAAATGGTGTGACTCTAGTGTACACCCAGAGACATGAAAAACTGTGCTCTATATGTGTGCTATGAATTGAAATGCATTCCGCTGTCATACATAACAAATGAATGGAGCTGGAGAATAGCATGCTAAGAGAAATAAGCCAATTCCAAAAAGCCAAAGGCTGAATGTTCTCTCTGATAAGTGGATGTTGATCCATAAGGGGGGGGGCACATGGGAAAACTGGAAGAACTTTGATTGGGAAAAGGGGAGTAGGGAAGGGGATGGGGCATGGGGGCAGGAAAGATGGTGGAATGAGATGGCCATCATTACCCTAAGTACATGTATGGCTGCACATGTGGTGCGATTCTATATCATGTACAATAAGAGAAACAAAAAGTTGTGCTGCAATTGTGTACAATGAATCAAAATGCATTCTGCTGTCATATATAACTAATTAAAATAAATTGATTAATTATTTTTTAAAAAGAGAATGGACATTAAAAAAATACAACCAAGTAATCCTACAACTACTAAAGACATTAAATTTTTACTTAAAACCTTCCCATAAAGAAGACTAAAGAGGACTGGGGTTGTGGCTTATTGGTAGAGTGCTTGCCTAGCACACCTGAGGCACTGGGTTTGATCCTCAGCACCACATAAAAATAAACAAATAAAATAAAAGTATATATGTATGTATGTGTATATATATATATATATATATATATATATATATATATATATATATTTTAAATAAGACTAAAGATTCAGGTACCAAAATATTTGAGGAAGAAATAAACTCTTCCAGAAGACTGAGGAAAAGAGAATGATTTCTAATTCACTTTTTTATTTTTACAAGGATAGCATTATTCTGATGCAAAAACCAACAAAGTCATTACAAGAAAAGTACAGAGCAATATGTCATAAAAATTGATGTAAAGTTTCTGCAATTTTAAATGAATCAAGCCAACAAAATACATTATAAGAAAATAGAGTTTATCCGGGGAATGCAAGGTTGATTAAACATTCAGAAATTAAGTAATATAATCCACCATATTATAAACTAAAGAAAAATCAATGATTATATTAATCAATACAGAAAATGCATTTGACAAAATCTAACATTCATATTCTTTGTTAGAATATGACAGAATGTTGAACTCAGGAGCACTCAACCACTGAGCCATATCTCCTGCCCTATTTTGTTTTATTTAGAGACAGGGTCTCACTGAGTTGCTTAGCACCTCACCATCTAACATTCATTATTGATAAAAACTCTCAGCAAACTAGGAATAGAAAGGAACCTCCTCAACATGACAAAAGGCATCCACAAGAACAAACAAACAAAAAACCCCACACAGCTAACATCATATTTAATAGTGAAAGTATGAATACTTTCCCAAGACCAGCAACAAGACAAGAATGTCTGCTCTCACCTTTTCTTTAACATTATACTGGAGGTTCAAGCAAGAAAAATAAAGGAAGGAAAATAATTAAAAGACACTCAGATTGGAAAGAAGAACTGAAATGCTCATATATTGCTGGTGAGAATATATACTGGTTCAGTCACTTTGGAAAATAATTTAGTAGTTTCGTAAATGGTTCATTGTACACCTATCATATGACCCAGATACTCCATACCTTAGGGATAGTTACCGAAGAGAAAAGGAAATATATGTCCATACAAAGACTTGTATATAAATGTTCACAGCAGCTTTATTTGTAGCACACAACCAGTAGAAACAACCCAAATATCCACCAATAGATGAACACATAAGCAAGCTGTCATGTGTCCATATAATGAATTACTATTCAGCAACAGAAAGGAATGACTGTCGACTCTCATCACAGTATGGATACCAAAATGAGTACAAATTGAAAGAAGCTAGACAATAAAGAATATATACAATGATTTAATTTCTAAACATACCAGAAAATATAATCTAGTTTATAGCACTTGAAGATAGGGAGGAATATACCAGAAGTAGGGAATAACAAAGGGACATAAAGAAACCTCTGGTTTGGATGGTAATGATGGATACATTCACTACATTGACTATGATAATGACTTCCCAGGCATATACTGTGTCAAAACTCTTCATATTCTGACAGTGACAAACTGAAATAATAATCCATGGAGAGTACTTTACTTTACAATGACCTGTTTTAATACTTTGCCTCCAGGAATATATTTTATTTAAAAGTAGGGGTTAATTTACTTACCCTTTGAAACCCACTGGAGGCATTTAAAGTATACTTAAACCACTTAAGGATGTGCAGATATCCTTAACATATATATTCCAACAGTTGGGAGAGGAATGGAGCCAGGAGGGAGCATCCTTCTCCCAGAGTTCCATTTCCAGAGTGAAAGGAGAAACCAACAGGAGAGAAAGAACTACAGCTGGATCCACTGAAGTCTTCTCTTCTTAAAAAGACAACTATAAACTTGCAATCCAAGCTTTCATAACACTCCTTACTAATTCAAAGTGTATCTGATATACATACAATGTGATCAATCATCTAGATCAGCTCTAATCTCTTCTAAGTGGACTTTGGAACAGTGATAAAGTAAATAAACCCCTCTACACATTGTACACTTTCAATCTGTATAGTTAATAAGGTCTGGAGAAAAAGCAAGGGCAAGACATATTTAGCTCAAATTTAAACAGATCATTCAGAAGGCAGCATGGAGCAGGGCTGGAAGAAGAAACAGTCAGAGACTAAGAGAGAATCAAGTTGCAGAAGCCAAGGAAAACCAAAAATGGATAAGCCAAGAGCCCAGACTGGGATATTCAGCAGGAAGAGTTATTTGAAGACTTAGGTAGAAGAACCTAGCTACTCAAATGTTCTTGATACAAGATGACCATACTATGAAACTGAGCACATACCTTTGAGAGACAGCCATGAAGGAAGAAGAAAATGCTCAGCCTCGCAAAGCAGATTGTTCAACCCAACAAACTGATGATATAAAAACGTGGCACCCACCAGCAATGTATAAGTGTACCTTTTCCCCACATCCTCACCAACATTTATTGTTGATAGCTAAGCTATGGAACCAACCTAGGTGCCCTACTATTGATGAATTGATAAAGAAAATGTGCTAGATATACATGATGGAATAATACTCAGTCATATGAAAGAATGAAATTTTGGCATCTGCCAGTAAATGGATGGAACTGGAGACTATCATGCTAAGTGACATCAGCCAATCCCCAAAATCCAAAGGCCGAATGTTCTCTCTGATATGCAGATGCTAGCTCACAATAAGGAAGGGCTAGGGAATAGAGGTACTTTGGATTAGACAGAGGGGAGTGAAGGGAGGGGAGGGGAAATAAGGGTAAGAAGGATAGAAAAATGAATTGTGCATATAGGATTACATGACTCGTGTGAACCTACATCATGTACAACCAGATGAATGAGAAGTTATACTCCATTTATGTATGATATGTTAAAATACATTCTATTGTCATGTTTAATTAATTAGAACAAATAAAAAAAGAAAGAAAAGTTGGCACTCAGCTGCCCCTCCCATCCACCCATGGTACAATCAACTACCTTCTAAAATGCCTGAGGACACACCACAGAGGGATATGGGAGCACTCGTGCCATCATCTTTACAATCAAGTCCTCAAAACTGTTATTAAAATATGATTTGGACTGTTTACCAATATGTTTTCTATATGGTGAAAGATTTCAATAAAGTAGTGAACTGACACTACACTAAGTGTTTAATTACCTCTCGGTTCATCAGGAAAAGCTGGGACCCTCTTCTCTTGGTAATGCCAACTAATACTCAATTACAGCTTAATGGGATCCTCTATAATTTTCTATCTCTTAAGGTCAGGATGACAGTAATAAGAATTAATAGACCTAGTTCATTTGTCCCCAAATTGGTCTGGCTGATATCCAGCTTATATAAAACCTGTACTCACAAATGAAGTGCCATTTCATCTTCGGGATCTCTATAAGCAAAATGTATGCATTAAACTTACCAATAGCCTTAATTGATTCTCCTGGAAAAAGTGGCGCTTCTTCCATCTGTGCCAACTTATTTCCATCCCTTAGAGCCTGGCAAAAAAAAAAAAAATCAAACAGGAGTAAATCTTACTTTACATCTGTACACCTGAAAAAAATGTGGTGTTCTGTGCTCTCTACAAGGCTATGTAAGCGTGCACAATGTATGCCCCCTCCCTTTAAAAGACAGTTTCAAAGCTCAGCATCACAGGACATCATGCTGCATATTCTAGCAAATTATTACAACATATTTACATTTCACAGTGAGAAAGCATTAATACAGAAGGGCCTTGACATGACAGATAGATACTGTAATCACTACATATATAGCTAATATATAAGATGCCTCCAGAATTTGGAAATAAGGTCAGAAAAAAAGGTCACCTTCTGAGCATGAAACTAATACAAATAAAAACATTAGATGTAGGTGCTTGGCTTGCCATAGAAATGACCCAGCCTATGAGACAGTTTAGGAAACCCCAAACCCTAATCAAATATCAAAGAATGGTCTCAGAACATAACCTAGGAAAGTTCTAGGCTCTGGTATTGCAACCCAGCCACACGTATGTGTGCACACACACATACACCAAGTATTTAACATGGGACATGGAGGGTGGAATTTTTCAGTTTACCCAATCCAGGCCACAAGAGAGTATGTTCTCATTTAGTAGAAAAGAATACAGGTTGAGCATCTCTAATTAAAAAATCCAAATCTGAAATGCTCCAAAGTCTAAAATATTTTGAGCACCTACATGATGCCACAAGTGGAAAATTCTACACTTGATCTCATGTGATGGGTCACAGTTAAAACACGGGAACTAAAAATATTGTATATTGTATAAAATTTCAGGTTATGTGTATAAAGTATACATGAAACAAATTTAATTTTAGACTTGGGTCTTATCCCCAAGATATTTTGTTATATACATTAAAATATTCCAAAATAAAAAAATCCCAAATCTGAAACATTTTTGGTTCTAAGCATTTTGGATAAGAGATATTCAACCAATATTCTAGTCTGTACTGTGGAGCAGGATATGCTCATCAGGCATTTCTCAAACCAATTCAGTTTTGTGCTAATTTCAAGCACACCAAGAAAACTGCTAATGTCTTACTAGTTTCCTGTATGGCGACAATGATACTAGAACGATGCCTTGTACATTTCATGCCAGCACATTTCATGCCAGCACATTTCATGCCCACATTTTTAAGTGACCAGACCGGCATTACAGTCCAGTAGCCAGTTTCTTATAAGCTTGGTTAGATGGTGCCAGATAATTCAGGGGAGGTCAGAAAGCAGTGCTCTTGGAGTACAGTGCTAGGAACTGGAGACTGAATCTGGGACCTATTCAAAGTCACCACCATCTCTCTGAGATGTTGCCAAGGAAACCACTCATTTTCACCCTGGCATGTAGGACAAAATGTGTCATAAATAAAACTAAGGTGATCAAAACCCTAGCAATTCCCAAGTTGTGCTTCACAGAGCATTAATTTCCCAAGAAATGTGAATAGATCTTAAAAAAAAGAAAAGTTTGGGAAATGCTGGGTTAAACAAAACAAGTTAAGCTATTTGTTTAGTGAGACAGTCTTTAGTGTGTTAATGTACACCAAGGCAGCAAGAGGGCGCTAAAGTATAATAATGCATGTCTCATACCTATTTGAACAGGGGCTGCATTTCCAAGGAATACCTGTCAACACCGGGAGGCCACTAGTGTTCAGTGGAAAACAGGTTGAACAACACCAAGTTTTCGGCAATAATTTTGTAAAGCAAAATGGATGTATTTTATAATTCTAATCTAAATTACTGAAAATTAAAAATGACTAATGATTTTTCATAGTTACAAGAATATTTCAATTTTTCATTAAAGGGACTTAAAGGTCAAGTTAGAAACACTATAAAGAGTAGTTTCATATTTTTTTTTTAAACAAAGAAAAATGTTAAAATATAAATAGCAAATTCGATGCTAAAATGTTGGTTGAGGTATGTCTTTTTTTCTGAAAGGGAACAAAATACATGGTCCATTTTTCTCCTTATCTAAAGATATATGGTTAATATAATATATATTAGGACCAATCATTACTTCTAAACAATTTATTCTGTTTAATTTTTAGTACAGATTAGTTATTTTCAGCCAAAAATTTTAAGGCATTAACACATTAAAGGGAACATGGAGAATCATTTTAGATTTAATGCTCACATCTATCTGATTTGGACTATACCTTTATGCAACAAAACATAAGCCAATATGTATACTTTTAAATGCCTGGTTTTAGAAATATTAAAATATCTTAACAGAAACCTTAATTTGAAAATTTGCCTTAATTTATTATGTGAACCAGTGACTAATTTTATAGAATAGTTACAAAGTAAGAAAGCTACTTTAATCAATTTCATTACTTCAAATAATAAATTGGTAAGGCTTATTATAATATATATTATACAGATGTAAATCCCTTAACTTATACTTAAAAATAAATGGGGATAGATTATTTGAAATATATTTATAAAAACAAGCTATTCTGATCAATAGAATCTGAAAGGGATTAGAGAAGATAAGATTCCTGCTAAACTTTCCAGCAAGCCACATGGAACACTGTAAAGTTCTCAATTCAGGACTAGCTAATGAAAAATTGCAGGTGGTAGACAGTGGTGATTGACTATTTGGGGAATGCACAATGCTGTCAAGATAGAGACTAAGGAGCAAACCTTTTTCTTCTTTACCCATAGTCATGTAAAGTGTGGCTGGAAACACCTGTGCATTTACACAAGGCATAAATGTTTTGGTAAAACAGATAATATCCTCACTTGTGATAATTAAATCTGGGACATGCTTTTTAAATGATGAAAAATCAACTATCAGAATAAAACAAAGGAATGACCCCACTGTATCTGATTTCACCATAGGAAGTTTGTTTGTAAAAGGAACACATTAAGCTTTAGCATGGGAACTCAAGAGGAGAACAGTTTTTAAGGCTTGTTTTTTAAAGTACAGTAGATTCCCTTTATGAAGCTGGTGTTAGGAGAATGGACTCACACTTGTGCTATATTAAGCTTTTGCGGCAACTACCAGGTTGCACAGGACATGATTTGACCCTTGATTTATCCAACCCATGTATTGTACAATCAAAGGATGGAGTAAATTTGACCTCACAATTACACCCATTTCTCTTGGTGCCTTTTGCACAAAGTGTTCACCAAATAAGGAACCCCCTCTGATGATCTCATCTCAACTCTCTTCTTATGACCCTGAAGGTCCAGATGAGGTCTGCAGCTCCCTGACTTTGCCCTTGAGGGCTCTAGCCCATAGGAGTGACCCTAGCCTCTCCACTATTATTCTTTTCAGCCTGAATCTAAGCTTCAAGGTGGACAGTTTATGCAGCTGCTGCATGCCCAAAGCAGTGGTTTTCAAATTGAGCTCTTTCCCAGGGTCTCCAATGGAAGGTGGGGCTAGGCAGTGGAGGACAAAAAACAACTGAGCATCCGGGGCTTGTTTGCCTATGGGTCTCATACATTAAGGCAACGAGGAAAGGACTGCTGCCTTGAGACTCCAAAGAAGGTCCAGAGGCACTGAGCAAAGAGGAAGTACTCCAATAGGAATGATTTTGTAGACTGATTAGTAAATATAAAAATTAAGTACTCATTCCATAAACACTCACAAAGGGCACAAACCATGCAAATTTGAATAAAATAAAGTCTACATACTCAAGGAGCCCCTTAGCATTATGTGTCTGTCCCCTCTAGGTTTCTGGAAATATACTTTAGAATCGTACAATGATGGAGAGTCACTAACCTCATCAATAACCCCTATCTGGAGGAACCAAGAAGCACAGAGGAACAAATTTCTAGTTGACAAAATGTTGGATAAACCAATTTTTGCAAATAATGTCATAATGGAATCTACCAAATTTGGACAGGAGAACACTAATATAGTGGTAAGAGCATTTGGAAAGCTTTGCTTATTGTCTAGAAATCTAGTATGAAATGGCTTCTAGATACACGATCCAAACAGATGAACACGTAGAACTTGCCACCTGATCAGCTTCAGCTTCAGAAGGGTAGCCATTGTGTTCTTCCTGTATCTCCTGCACAGCACCAGGTGCATGGACAAGAAAAGGCAGAGAAGAGAAAGAGAAACACGTGCAAACAGACAGGTGAAAGGACAGAATTTCTTTTTTAAAGAGACAGTAAGCATGTAAAAGTTGACACAACTTTCATGGCTTTGCAAATCACAACATTTGCCCCATTGGAGTTAAGAAAATAAAATGTAGGCTATCTATATAGCATCCTCAGCTTAAAATGGGAGTATCTATTCTGCTTGTGTTGGAGTAGAAAATGTAAAGCAAACAAACATGGATTTCAAAGAATGCGCTGTTTTTTTTAAAATCAAGCAACACTATAGCATGTAGCAAAGAAACTAAACAACAGGCACATCATGTGCTCATAGAAAATAAAGCAAACCACAGAAACCAGGTAAAGGGCAAAGTCAGGCCAAAATACAAAGGCAGTTCATAGACATCTAAGTATGTATACAATTTAGAGTATACTTATTTGTATACTCGAAAGAACTATTATTTTGCCCAAGGGTCAGTTCCACTGCACACATGCACATATCACATGCTGGAGATTTTTATATATACATATGTACATATATGTGTCTGTTTCTTATTGCTAAATACTATGACAGATGAATCAACATCTTATTAGATATTTCTAATTGCAGTATCAACAACATGCTTCCAAGAAATGAAAAGGTTATATATCCTCCAATTTTTTACCAATACCTGTAAAGGTACATTGTTTTTAGTTTAATTTCTTCACAAAATCAATTATTTTTGAAGCTTTAAAAAAACCTAACTTTTAATTCAGTTGGTTAAGTGTAAAGAATGTGAATACTGAAAATGACAAGATTATAAAACCTTTTAAGAATGGTATCAAATTCCAGAGACTAAAAATATTAAAATTTAGCATAGATATTTTTATTTAATAAAATTTTTGTTCCAGTGATTATATTTCTTTAAAAGTGAAGAAGTAGCAAAGCTTTAAAAGAATTCAATATTTCCCACCTTCAGTTTGGTCAATAAACTTATCACATTTTATAATTTATCATCAGATTGAATTCAGTACACAGTTGGTACAACTACACTTCAAGGCACTGTAATATTTAAATGTGGCCAGGTTTTTGAAATTCCTATTTTTGAAATACAAAGAAATGGAATTATTCTTTGATTCGATTTTTAAAAACCAGAAAATGAATAAACAAAAAAACCCCACTGCATTTCAAAATCCATGCAAGTGTAAAGGCAAACACTAATATTTAACAATGTGAATCAATGAAAGAAATGATTACCACAAGCAAAATAAAACAAGATTAAAAGGGTAAACCAATTAAAATAGAAGAATTTGACTCAACTGATTACTTTTGTACTACTTCATTGGCTTCAATAAGATTAAAAATTTTAGGCTAAAGTCATTAAATATACTGTCAAATCCACATTGTTTTCATTGAATGGAAACAGGTTAATTTTAAATGTCTGATGCTGAGTTAATTGCATGCACATTACCAATCTTTGTCTTGCTTTATGAATATTCTGAAATAAAGGGAAAGAAAATCATGAGGAAAATATAAGCTATAATCTGCTGTATCTCTATTTTAAAAACTAACTGGGACTGATTTTAGTACTTTTTTAAAAAAGATTAGCACTCCTGCTTTTTGAACTCAACATGCAAACACAAACATGACTCAAAACCTTATTTAGACTGGATGGACAACATCTGACCATTTTATTTTTGGGGAGGGGGTGGTGCTAAATTCCTTAGCATGAATCATATGGCAAGCAAAGTTAAAAGAGGTCTCTGTAGGCCTAAATTTATAATCCCTGCCCTGAGCATCCATCTGGTCAGAATTCATGTAGTACAAGGAAAGTCAGTAGTACACATTGGTAACAATTTTAGCATCCTGCCCTCACACACAGTGGCTTTTACTGCACATAAAAACATTGTAACAAATAAAGCATTTCTAGTGAACACTTAAAGCTATAACACAGCAGAGCAAATTGATCTGAGTGACTCATAAAAACCAGTGAGAAGGTAAAGAACACTAAATAGACACACAAGGAAGAGGCCCATCTGCAGAAAGCCAGGTATCCTTACCCTTATATCAGGCCTCCTGAAAACCTGTTAGTTAAAATACAGAACATCATCATCATGGACATCTTACTATTGACCTGTGAAAGATGCCGTTAATCAACAGCCCACTCCCTAACAGACATCATAATCCTCTGGATAAAACTAGTGAAATCAATCCTAACACATTTGCCCTCCAATTTTCATTCAATATCAAATCAATACTAATATATTTGTCCTATAATTTCCAAGGAAGTGTATAATTTGGAGAAATGTATCACTCTTAGGCTAAGACAAACTACATTATCTTAAATACAAACCTCTTCTGTCAAGTGCTATTATAAGTTATCGGGAACAGGCTGTGTTTGAAAAGTCCATTTGTATTTCTGTTTGGAATACTGAATGCATTTTCTACATAGAAGCAATGACATAAAAAGGCAGTTATGCTCTCAAAGCAGCCCACAAAACAAAACAAAACCACAGAAACTCCCACATTGGACCTAGAGCACAGTTCAGCTATAGTATTAACTAACAGTACCATAAAACTGAGGTAATCACAAAGCTTAGCCTGACTTTCTATTGAAATTATATTTCCAATTCATACTTTGGACTATGGAATTAAACTCCTCAATGTGGCCACCCCATTGAGAATAGGGTGCCTGCTCTGTACCCCAGCACTGATAGACATGGATAGCTAAGGGGAACTTCCAGGCAGGAAGGGGTGGTGGCTAACCTTAGAAGGGAAGCCACACTATTCAACTGAGACTTATTTCAGCAACATTATTCCTTTGCCTGTGGCCTGTGAATCATAATTGAACATGTAACACACACATCTGGAAAGCCCTGGTCAGAAGAAATGGCCCACACATGGATGTAAGTTTTGAAAAGCAAATAGTTGTAATAGTCTGAGGCAGACTTTATATCTGTATCTCATTCCAAAGGCTGCAATCCTAGCATCTAAACAGTGAGTGTTCTATTAAAAACATATCATCAAAAAAGACAATCACCATTTTGGTTATTAGCTTTATGGTTTAACTCAGAAGTGATAAGAAAATAATTGAATACAAATATACTACTTCAAAAAACATCAGAATATTATCATTAAAATACTCATTGAAGTCAAAAAGGCATTCTGAGCTAAGTGACACTGTATCTCAAAAGTATTAAAACCCGTAAGTTCCTATAAAGACTATTTAGAATAAGAGGCTTAAATGTGGGCTGGGGTTGTAGCTCAGTGTTACAGCGCTTGCCTAGCATATGTAGGGCACTGGGTTCGATCCACAACACCACATAAAAATAAATGGATAAAATAAAGGCATTGTGTCCATCTACAAATTAAAAAGAAAAAAAAGAAGCTTAAATGTGGCACTTTTTTAGGGCAAGGAGAAATAGGGTTATGGATGTTTATCTTAACTGTGATGATGGTTTGTTTCATGAATGTGTATATATGTCAAAACTCATCAAGCTGCATACTTTAAATACATGAGGTTTATCACTTAACTACACCTCAAGAAAGCTAGCAAAAAAAAAAATGTTTATGGTAATAAAAACTTTGAAATAGAAAATCTCCCCTCCCAGAGCTTCATTCCCCATAGACAACCACACTCAACTTGACCTATTTTTAATTCTTCTATTTCCTCCATTACTATGAAAAATGGTTCTACTTCTGTTTCTTAATTTGTCACCTTTAAACAGTATTCATTGACCTCCCATTTTAAACATTAAGAACATAATCTTTCTCAAACTACTACTTTTTTCTTCTTAGTCTTTGCTGATTCAAAGTTTAATTTTTATTTCTTCTGACATTTTCCTTCAGCAGCAGTTGCATCATAAAAATACACTCAGGACTTTTATGTTCCAGCCACTCCTTGAAGTACTTTATACATATTAACTCATTGTATTCTTAAAACAACCTTGTGAGATAAAAACTATCATTGTAAAAACACACACATACACACACACACACAAAAAAAAAAAGACAAGTAATTATTGGCCCAATTTCTTTCTTTCTCTCTCTCTTTCTTTCTTTTGATGAGAAAATCAAGGCACAGTTAAGTAATCTGCCCAAGTTCAAGTTAGCACAGCTACTATTTAAATCATGGTAGTCTAATTCCATATTTGTGTCCCTAACAACACTGATCTTCTGCCTTGGTGTAGGGTCTCTATAATTAGCCCTGAAACCCTGCTTTGACCCCTCAAAAGTACACATGATAGCTCTTAACTCCCTTTAAGTTTGCTGAAGAAACCAACACCACCATCCTTTTCTCCACCTCTCTTCCCCTCTCAATCTCCAATCCTCCATTCCCACATGATATATTATTTTCCCATTTGTTATGTAACTACAACTTTTGATATTTCATATGTAAATTGACAGCAAAAGTTGAAAAATAAAAAGCAGCATTCACAATTATTTTATGGAAATAATATCTACTGCAGAACCAGGGAGTGCAATTGAGCCTCATATATGGAAGACATAGCTAGCTCCTTGTCAATAAAGCCTTCACTATTAGTTTGAGACACTAACTTGAAAGTTTGGAAAGGTGTAGAATAATTGGGCTTTAAATTCACATTCATTACCTACTATAGTGAAATGCTCAGTGTTCTTGGTATGAGAAGGAGGTCAATGAAGGCTTACTACAAAATCTCATGTGTGAAACAACTCAAGAAAATTTAGAGTGAAATGATTGGGTTATGAGAGCTTTAACCTAATTAGTGTTTTAATCCACTTGAATGGATTAACTGGACAGTAACTACAAGCAGGTATGGTGTGGCTGGGGCAGGGGGATCACTACGGGCATGCCTGTATGGTGTGGCTGGGGCAGGGGGATCACTAAGGGCATGCCTTCCTTTTGGGTATATATTTTGTTCTTGGCGAGTGGAGCTCTCTGATTCCTTGTTGTCATGCCCTTTCACCTTGATGTTTAGGCTCACCTTAGACCTAGAGCAATAGAGTTGGCTGTCTATGACCAAGACCTTGACATCGTGAGCCCCAAATAATTTTTCCACCCTCTATGTTGTTCTTGTTAGGTCTTTTGGTCACAGCAGCAGAAAAGCTGACTGAACTAGTTGTGTTTCTCTCTAGTTCATTCTGCCTGAAATAAGCCATTTCAGGCACACACAGAAGTTCATTTTCTTCTTGAATCCAATTCTGATGGAAGTCAGAGGAGAGGGCAGTGCTTTTGAATCAAGGCCAGGGAAGCTCCCAATGTCTGCCTTCTGGGCCTCAGTTTCTACACAAAGAAAATGAGAAGAGGTTGTGGGATGACTGCAAAGTCCTGACCAGTTTAAAATCCCAGGAGTGGAATTATCTAAACCTCCTTAGAAGCTTTCAGAAAACATCTCCCAAACTGAGGCTTAGGGAGGCAAACTGGCTCAGGTTACAAGAGTGAACTCAAGTCAAATCCTGAATCCACCACTTACTTACTGGCTACAAGACCTTGGATGAGCCATAAACCCCTCAGAGTCTTAGTCTCTTCTTTAAATTGATGACGCTAACTCCATCTCCCTCACGATTATTGGGAAGATTAAATCAGTTAAGGTAACTGTACATGGGGCAGGATAAGTAACTTTAAGTTGATGGGTCTCAGCTGCCCTAATTTGGACTACAACTATCTCAATGTGGCCCACATCCCTCCCTCACCTCCTACACATGCCAAGAACCTCTAAGAAGGCATAAAAAAGTAAGTGATTTCGATCTATTCAATAAAGCTAGCCGACTATCCAAAGGTTAACTAAGTTTTACCTGCCCATACCAACTCTAAATGGCTTCCAGCAAATCAAGAAATAGTAACAAAATTCAAATGTGTGTGAAAGTTTCTGTTAGGGGTAAACCTCCCTTCCTCTGTCCTTGGGTTCCCTTTGTCATCCTTCCAGGCACTTTCCAGCAGATGGGCAAGAACTTCCATTGACCATCCATTTTTGACAGCTTTTGGAGTGGAGCTGGCATGTTTCACATTGGCCCTACAGTATCTGTCTGCTAGGGAGACCTGAAGGCACAGTCCGCTCTCCCCCAGCCCAAGGTGTTCACTTGTGTGGGCCTTGCCCCAAGAGAGGACACAACTGCATTTGGGTAAGTTAATTTAACCTTAGATGGGTGAATGAAGCAGCCTACTCTGCAACATACCTTAGCTAGGCCCTCCAAGCCAGTTTTCATCAATTGCTAAAGCTGATATTTTGGTCTAAATCTGGCTCCTGTCTTAATTCTTGATAAAGTGACAGCTGATACCCTTAGACCCCCAAGAGTGTGAAAGGATATCAGAAAGCTTTCAACACAGCCACTACTGGTACTACAAATAATAATGAGCAGTTGTTGAAAGCGTAAGCTATGCTACTGAGTGCTTTACATATGTTCTGTCAACCCTCCCACCAACCTATGTGACAAATGCAAAAACCGAGGCAGTGAGTGGTAGGCAACTTGTCCCTAGCCATACAGCCAGCAACAGCAGAGCAGGGACTCAAACCCAAGCTAGTTGGCTTTAGTGCTCATGCTCCTGACCTCAACATGCCCTTACCTACATCTGTTCCCCTTCTGCAGAGTGTTGACAAAGACCCTCAAGTCTTAAGTCCCAGAATGCCCTGCTCTTTCCCCCTCCTTCCTCCCATCACACCTGTTTACATGTCTATTTTAATACTCACCATGGATCCAACTTGTACCATGATTTTCTTCATCTCTGCCTGACTGAATTCCACGTAGCCCAACCCAGAACAGATGCTCACATCATGTTTCTTAAAATAGATTAGTGTTCAGCAAGGACAATATACTCTTCTTGTATTTGTTTTTACACATAGAAATTTTTAGTGGTAGTATGTAGTAAATGAGCATTTGTATGTGTTGCACTATTATAACATTCGTATGTTGCACTATTTAACACATTCAGCTTCTGCTACAATACCATTATGCAGATGAGGACACTGAGGCTCAACAAAGTTAAGCAACTTCATAAGCAGCTAGTCAGTTACAAGACTGGGATTCAAGGTAAAAGTGCTCTGATTCCAAATTTAACATCTGCTGCAGTAACCACATACAATTTTCTAAGACCAAAAAAGTCCAT